CATTAAATAGTATGAACATTTACAATCAATTTGTGCTGGCTATGTTCAAAATTTCTTGCGTCAGAGACGTCTTTTTGTAACAGAAATTTGCTTTTTTTCCCAGATGCGTTTTTATAAACGTGTGCTGGTTATGTTCTAAATTTATTGTGTCAGAAGTGTATCCTGTAATATAGAGTTGCTTTATGTTATGTTGCTTTATCTTTTTTTGTCTCAGAAGTGTTTTCGTTAACGCGTGATAGTGTATGTTAAAGAATGAATTAGCGTTTGCTGATTACTTTCTAAATTTATACTGTCAGAGACATCTTTTATAACATAGAGTTGCCGAAACTAGTAAATTTTAGAACTATAAATAATCATGACAAATCTGCTTCAGATCTGTCGTTGATAAAAATCATTATTTCAACAGGCTTGTTGAAAAAACATAAATTAGCCTGATAGACGGCTCCTAATACATTGCTTTGCTTGAATTTATAGTCAGTCTGCAAACTACTTGCAGACTAATTAAAACTTTGTTTACTGAGTACCATAGGCGTGCACTCACACTTATGCTGTCTTTTAGACTTATGTGTGTGTGTGTATATATATGAGAGAGAGAGAGAGAGAGAGAGAAAGAGAGAAAGAGAGAGAGAGAGGAGAGAGATACTTGTATCTCTTCTAGTCTCTCGTTCATTTTGTCTGTCCTTTGATTAAACTGAAACGGACTAATCGCTATGTCATCCGTGTTTATTCGTTTTTTTCTTGTATATTTTGACGGCCGAATACTGAACCGCGTCACGAGAGCAATTCAGTATGTATATGTAAAGCTTTCTGAGCAATATAAAATGTTTGATGACATTCATAATTTTTTTTGTAGTAATATATCCACATAAACCTAAAAATTAATAACATGTATGTACACATATTTGCGTTTAAGAAATGTATGTGTTCTGTATAGTACTGCAGCGATCAGTGTGCGTTATTCTTCATTAAAAAATAATTATACACATGAAAATAGGATTTTTCAACACTTTTTATTTTTTATGTAAGGAATATACTTGCTTCGTAGACTTGTTTCATGCACATCATATTTCGTATTATGTATTAGTCAAAGAAAGTTACTTTTCATAAGTAAAAAACTAGAAAGTGCAAAAAAATATATTTTATTATGTGTATTTATGTTTTTATAAACAATAACGCATTGCGATTGCTGCAGTACTGTACAGAACACTGTACATTTATTAAACGCATACATATATGTATTGTGACGTGGTAGTCGCGCCGCTCCTCCCTCGCCACAAAAAGCTCTCATGATCGCGGGAGTCCTGGGATGCGAACCGTCAGGGACGCGCCAAGATCCTCCAGGGCTTGCTTGCGTGCGTTAGATTTAGTTGCTTATATGTATTATTTTTTTGTATGCTCTTGGCGCCTCACCACATCGAGAACACACTACTGGAGGAAATATCAGGAACCAACGATTCTAGGTAAAGGCGAGAGTAAACGAGAGAGAAGGGTGTGCGTGGAGTTGCAGCTAGGCACTCGCACGACGACCAGAGGGGTGAGTCTCCGGAAATAAGCGGCGAGAAAGAGGACAACGCGGAGGACAGC